AATTAAATTTCGTTTCGTCGAATTGTTAGCTACACCGTATACGTTTCGTGTATAAAAATATCGTCTGTTAGATTTAACTTTTGTCACCGAGAGATAATTTCGAAATTTCACCGTTTATCCAGTTTTCTCAGAAATAATTGGTAAAATAAGCAGCGACGAACTTAACGATCGAAGAAGGAGGAAAAGTCGGGATAAGGAGTGCTCGTTGAAAGAATCGCAGGTTGAAGCGGAAATAAAAGGAAACAAGCGGCTGGCGGAATGTGTAACGCGGAGGAAACGTTGCTCTTTATTAAAACCGCTAAGTCCGTTTCGGTATAATGAAATTAAAAGTAAACGTTCCTCGTGATTTATCCCGGCTGGACCGTTGCTTTAAGCTGGAGTTTCCACGCTAGAAGCACGCGTCCAAATGGAAAAACCGATTGGATCGAGAGGACTTGGTGCATTAAGCCGTAGATTTGAACGACGACGAGTCGCGGGAACCCGCTGCTGGTATTCTTACGAAATAACCGTAAGGCTGTATTTCTTCGAGTTGGATTTGTGAGCTCGACGGTAATGTCACGAGCCATATCACGCATCTATAGGCGGAACGACACGTGTACGTCGATACTGGAGGCGCCGAATACATTAGGACGTCTGCTCCCGGGGACTACGATCCAGCCAGCCTATCGATTTCGCCACCGTCAAATCTCTACACCTCGAATGTTTCGCGGTCAATTCGATGGTAGATACGTGAGTGGTTTCATATTGCAAATCTCACGATTGGGAACTTCGTTTGATGTAGAACATTTTTGGAAGGAAATTAAGTGACCTGAGGTTTTCGAAATTTCAAAATTGTAGAAATTTCTCCGCCACGAATTTCGCGGCCAACTCGCTATTACACCTGTAAGTGGTTTAATATCGAAAATTTCACGATTAGGACCTTTGTTCGATATTTATTGAATTTAGAAAATTTTTGAAAGTAAATTAAATTACGCGGTGTTTCTAAAATTCGGAATCTCCGAAAATTTCCGAATTCTAGAAATATCCCGAGCTTTCCAAATTTCCTAAATTCCTCGAATTCCCGCTTTCCGAAGCATTCCAACTTCGCGAAGCTTCAAATTTCCCAAAAATCCCACGGTCCCAAGACCCAAGTTCCCCAATTTTCAGCGCATTCAGAGTCTCGCGAATCATCTCACTTTCTCAAATTCGCCTGGAACCCTTCAAACTTCGCGAGACCAGAAATTTCCACAAATTCTCACACCTTCTCCGCGTATCTCATTTCTACCTGCAGCTCGAGACCTCCGAAAATTCCGTCTTACCGTCGAAATCCGTGGAACGCGGCTAACGCTTCGAATAAGTCGACTTAGAGGAACAGAATTAATTAGGCTAATTTCCCTGGTTATGTCTAATCCGTCACAGTTGTTCGAGTTTCAACACGGTCCGAAAAGTGGTGGAATCCACTGACAAGACGTCGAGCAGATGCAAGGAGTTACATTCCATCCCGAGATTTTCAAATTACCGGATTATCTGGATGGAAAGTAGCTGGCGTGGCAGGTATCCGGGACGCTTAGCGTCGGCTTGCGGCGCGAGCGCGGTTTTTAAGCTCGATTATGTCGACGCGTTGGCTCTTTTTTAAATGGAGAAGAAGAATTACGCGCCGCGGCCCAGCCGGATCGCTGAGATTCCATCGCGGAGGCTCGCGTTCCTCGAGACGATATTTTATTCGCCGCAGGATCGGTGAACGAAGAGCCGAGTGAAAATTCCGTGGCATTGTAAAAATGTTATCTCCTTCTTTAATTATGTTGAACTATTATTATATCCATTTATCATATTCTGTCAATTGTTTTGTAAACTATAATGTGAAAAACATTTGACGATGCAGATTCTACTATTTTTAGTGATTTAGAAATCGCTTTACGTAATATCCGCGTTGCGAACGAGCGTTCTACCCGTGTCACTCTGTGTCACTCTGTGTAACTTCACTTTACATGATTTTGTACAGGCTGATATTGGGAATAGAGGTGAATCGACATGTGTAGGTGGTAGATTTATAACGATTTCTGGGGAATTGCTGGTTAATTGATTAAGTTAGGTTATTTTCGGTGGGTTGTTTGTAGTAGGAGGATTAATGGTGGACGGTTCCAAGGATAATTGTTCATTCTGTGTCATTGTTCAATTTATTAAATTCAGTTGAAGTGTTGAGAATATAAAATAGTCACTTGCAATCCCTTCTATCCTAACACTTTTCACGTTCTTATACAGGAAACAGATTCGTAAAAAGTACATTCATAAAACACATATAATTCAGAAGAAATGCATACTCAGTAGGGCGAATAAAAACAAATAAACATGATTTCACAGATAAAATAATTAGAGCCTATTCGCAAGAAACATCGTCATTTTCTTCTACATATTTCTTCTCCTCGTAACTCATAAAAATGGTTAAAGTACTCAGTACGGTGTATAAAAACAAAATAAATCCTGCTTGAAAATATTGCAATTTTCTTCTATACATTCTTTCTCCTTCTATTTCTCAAAAATGGTTAACAATACAGTATTGCTGTTTCTTTTTCAAAATTACTCTCATTTCGATCATTTTACAGATATACAAAAACATGGCAATTTTCTTCTTTATATTTTTTCTCATTTGGTCTCTCAAAAATGGTTAACAATACAATATTGCTATTTTTTCAAAATTACTCTCATTTCACAGATATGCAAAAAAATCTCAATTTTCTTCCTTATATTGTTTCTCCTTTTATCTCTCAAAAGTGGTTAACAATACAGTATTGCTGTTTTTTCAAAATTACTCTCATTTCACAGATATGCAAAAAAATCTCAATTTTCTTCCTTATATTGTTTCTCCTTTTACCTCTCAAAAGTGGTTAACAATACAATATTGCTATTTTTTCAAAATTACTCTCATTTCGATCATTTCACAGATATGCAAAAACATGGCAATTTTCTTCTTTATATTTTTTCTCATTTGGTCTCTCAAAAGTGGTTAACAATACAGTATTGCTGTTTTTTCAAAATTACTCTCATTTTACAGATATGCCAAAAAATCTCTACTCTCATTTCACAGATATGCAAAAAAATCTCAATTTTCTTCCTTATATTGTTTCTCCTTTTACCTCTCAAAAGTGGTTAACAATACAATATTGCTATTTTTTCAAAATTACTCTCATTTCGATCATTTCACAGATATGCAAAAACATGGCAATTTTCTTCTTTATATTTTTTCTCATTTGGTCTCTCAAAAGTGGTTAACAATACAGTATTGCTGTTTTTTCAAAATTACTCTCATTTTACAGATATGCCAAAAAATCTCAATTTTCTTCTTCATATTGCTTGTTCAAAAATTACTCTCATTTCGATCAATTTACACAGTCACGTTAAAAAGAACTTTAAGGAGTACCAAAACTGTACAGGATTCCATCTCATAAATTCCTTTCATCCCCTTTAAAAGCATACCTAAGATCGGTCAATTTTCCCAGAAACACCCTGTACATTCTGTCAGATCGTCAATGCAACCACGTCTCGCGTCCGCCTCGCTCGATACCGCTTACACAATTTCCAGCGATCCGGCAAGCCACCCGACAAAAACATCGAATCGCGCGACTTCTAACTACTCCGCGTAACAATCGACTAACTGAAACGTCTCCGTAACAGGCGTGAGATAATGCGGCCGATCGAGAAACGACTTCGCGTAAGAACACCTCTACTCTTGGCGCGACGGGACAAAGAAACGGAACGCTTTCCTTAGTGCAGTTATGTCATTCGATTGTGCCCGAGATCGATCCGATCTTAACGCCGTTTCGTTCCATCGATCGTGGAAAGCGTAAAATCGCTCGTGCGGCACGAGTCGCCGTGATTCCTTCTCCACTTATCGATCGTTCTTCTAACACGTACATGTATACCCTATCGATCGAAGGCAAATTGACGGTTCGAAGAAGTTGCAATTTCGGACGTGGAAGTTAAGAGCGATTTGGAAAATCTCTCGGCTAATTTCAGGTATTTCTTCTTGATTGCAACATTGAAGTTGGCGAGACGTGCTGCCGACTACGAAGAGAACGGAAGTTTCTCGAAATTTGTAGTTGCTGCAATTTCTCACGAACTTGAGTTTGAAGTTGCAGCTTTTGACCGCGGTTAATTAAGCGAAGGTACCTCGTCGACGGCAGATATATAGTTGTCCAGTTACGGTACAATTCCGATGCATCTGCGAACTGTAGAATCTACTTCAATGGTATTTCAATATATCGATCGATACGATTATGAAGTTTTTAAGATCTAAACAAATAAGAGCGACGCTTCTGCATTTCAGTTTTGACTTCGGTAGTGTACTTCGTTGAATATTCTGAACACGATATGATACCACTGAAATGCTATTTCTAAGCAATAAAAATATGCAACTGTCCGAAATATTTTCTTTAAAATTTTTGAAAAATTGCAACAATGTAGAAATACGAAAGAATTACCTAAAATATCGTAACAGCGAAGCTCAACCTAGTTTTTCTAGACACTTCACAAAGCGTCAATCAATCAAATTAGCCGACGAGATCGCCTGAAAGCCACTTAAATTAATTAAACACCCTTAATCGATTCATTTAGCGTGTACATTAAAACTACTGCCTCCACATGCAGCACGCGCCACTTCCACTCCAATAACGTGACGTGATCAAGATATCGATGGAACCGTCCATCGTACAGTTCGTTCGAGCCACTTTGAATCAATTTGATTACCAGCGAAAAAAGACAAAAAAGAATAAATTCACCACTTTATTCTTAAAATTGAAACGCGTTCATTTTCGAACACAGCCTGTGGAGAATGATTCCACCGCGGTCGAGGACTATCGTTGCGAAATCTCTTCGTTCACCGGAATCTGCCGCGACATCCCTTCTGCCGGGAAGAAAATTCGAGACAGAGCCGAGTGGGAGGAGCTGGATAAAGCAGCCTCTGCCGAAGTTTACCAACAAACGATCGAGCATCGATATCGAGGGGAATCGAGAGCATCGAAGACATGTGGCGAGGACCGTTGCTGCTGCTACTTCTCGTCTATTGCGGTTCGCTGAAGGCTCGAGGCAGCCACGGCGACGTCGTCAGCGACGAGTCGGCGCGTCGCGACGCTCGTCACCCGGCACCGTTCGCCACGGAAGTGGAGGATCTGCTTGGCGAGGGGAACACGCCTGAAAAAAAGGAGTCGTCTAAAAAATCTGGGAAGAATTCAGCTGGTACGTTATTTTTAACTTAATTTTAGGGGTTAATTGATGGTTAATTTACGTATGTGCAACGAGACTTCACTATTTCAATGTTTATTGTATTTTTGACACTTAGATTTATTATACTTTTAATTTTTTTTTCTTTTTGGTTCTGTGTGTGAGAGGAAATTTGACGATGTGCTGTGAAATTTTGAAATGAGTGTCTCCGATTTATTCCAGTTCAAATTTTTTTTTAATTTTGTGCGTGGAAAGAAATTTGAGTATGTGCTGTGAAATTTCGAAATGATTAGGGTAATTGTTCATTTCACTATTTGAATGTTTATTAGGTTTTCAACACTCAGGTTCACTGCACTTTTCTTCCTTTTTTTTGATTTTGCGTGTGGAAGGAAATTCGAGGATATTGTGCTGCGAAGTTTGGAAATAATTATTTCAAGGTAATTGTTCCAGGACTCGTTTTAATTATAGGAATGTTTCTTTGTTTCCGGGAGAAAGCATTTATAACGCGAAGTTAAAATGAAAATTATCGAATCGTGTTCGTGCATCGAATAGATTCTGAAATTATGACCAATTGTGTCCGCGTAATTAATGAGTCTATATTAATTGATTGACTTCGCGGTTTATTTATGCCTGGGAAACGGCAAAATAAACTGCACAGAATGGGATTAAAATTATCCAATGAATTTCGAAATACGTACACTGTCCTACGAGATGTTTCAACAAATACTGTATACGCCCAATTTTTCGTTATACCGATGATAAATAAAATGTTTCAAATGAATTCACCTATTTAAATGGTACACAAAATATTTCATCTTCAATATTAAAATTTCAAAAAAAGAAGAATTTTCCTAAAGTCGAACTGAACGCGAATTTACCATCTATTGCCATAATTTCTATCCTACACTCCAAAGTATTCATTCACAATACTCGTCACAAGTAATACCATTAGAAAATGCATCTTCAATATTAAAATTTAAAAAACAGAAAAACTTTTTCTAAGGTCGAACTGAACGCGAATTTCCCACCAATAACCACAATTTCCAGCACTCACTCCAAAGTATTCACCGACGATACTGATCACTCGCACAATTTACTCTCCTACGACAGTTTCGCCCAGCCAGATCACAAAAAGGAACTACATCTCACCTAGTACCGTTCGAAAATTTCGACAAACCCGCAAGAAGGCGGGATTAAGAAATTCAGGGAGACAAGTAGTGAAAGGGATTGCAGGAAAGCGGGCCTTAAGCGGCCTCTCGAGTTCTCGCGTCGCTCGGCAGTATCGTCGACGATAACAAGCACGAATAATACCGTGATTTTAGGCAAATCAGACGAGGGAGGATACTACAAGACGTACGGCAGCGACGCCGAGGGCGAGAAGGGTTACTTGAAGGCAACCTACAGCAAGGGTAATCACGGCTATAAGACCCTCGACACCTTCCACAAGCAGGATGGCGACAAGTACGCATTCGAGAAGCGCGTTGCCTACGGCAAAGCGCGTGCTGACAAGAAAAGTAGCCACAACGACGAGGCAGCCTCTCGTTTCAGGAAAGCCGACGATCATGAGGGCGCAGGTACAGAGAAACCGTACCTGTGTTGAGCACGTAATTGTGCGGCAACCGTACAGCATAGGGGTTGAAGCTAGCTTCTCGCCGATCTGCACACGCGAATTTTTTTCTTTTTGTTCTCGTCACGTTTAATAATATTTACCGGATGTCTTCAATTTATTGCAATTTTTGTTTCGAGGATAGTGTGCAGAATTACGCTAGATGAGAATTTTTAGCAGGTAACTGTGGGGCAACCATAGAACATAAGGGTTGAAGCTAGCTTCTTGCCGATCTGCATACACGAATTTTTTCTTTTTTGCTTTCGCCACGTTTAATACTATTTACCCAATGTCTTCAATTTATTGCAATTTTTGTTTCGAGGATAGTGTGCAGAATTACGCTAGATGAGAATTTTTAGCAGGTAACTGTGGGGCAACCATAGAACATAAGGGTTGAAGCTAGCTTCTCGCCGATCTGCATACGCGAATTTTTTTCTTTTTGTTCTCGTCACGTTTAATACTATTTACCCAATGTCTTCAATTTATTGCAATTTTTGTTTCGAGGATAGTGTGCACAATTACGCTAGATGAGAATTTTTAGCAGGTAACTGTGCGGCAATCATAGAACATAAGGGTTGAAGCTAGCCTCTTGCCGATCTACATACACCAACTTTTATTTCTGCTTTCAACACGTTTAATAATATTCATAATACCGATAGTTGACCAGATATCTTCAATTTATTGTAAATCTAACTTTGAGGATAGTGTGTTAAGTTATGTTAGATATGAATTTTTATTCTTTTTAATACTGTTTCAAAATATGCTTAGTGTAACAATGATTCCACACAAAAACGATGGTACTTTGAAACTTTTTTTATTGATAATTTTTGGATAAATACTAGTTACATTGTGTAGTGTATATGAGCAGTTACACTGTGTTTAACCCGTTAACTGTGTAAGAAAATTAACTCATCGTTGATTAGCCAATACTGTACAGTTTGGTTTATTTATCGAGGGATTATTCATTTTTAATTACACTGTTCTGGCTGCATTAAATTTAACACACATCAAATTCAGATATGCGATCAGAAATCATGTTTAATTACAAACCAGAGAGATTCAATTTCTGTTTAAAAGGTGAACACATCTCCAACGATTTGAATATTATCCTGAAAATTAGAAACAGAAGAGAAACACAATCAGTACGAAGCAGTATTCCAAGCTTCCTCGTCAATTACACTATAAATTTATCCAGGTACCATGGTCGATACTCGTTACGCAACCGATGAAGGTGATAATCAGAATAACGGCGGCGAACACGTCGAAGCCACCGATCACGAGAGCTATACCCACGAAGATAGCGGTCACTATACGGATCATGGACCAGAATCTTCGAGTTACGGGCACGGCGAAAGCTATGCGGATGGAGACGGCGAGCACGGTTCTTACGAAAGCCACAGCTCCTACTCTACAAGCTCTGGTGGTGAACACGGTGACGAAGGAGGCCATTATTATTAATTCTACGCCAACTGACTGGTATCCATTTGTCCGATCTTCCACCAGAAGCGTTAACACGACAGAAATACCTTCCAAGAAGTGGAACGCGACGTAGTTAATTTTCGGATAGAAACGTCGATAAGGAGCAAAAATTTCCTCCCATAGGTAGAACTTCAATTTCGAGGAATTACAGTTTAGAGGAAGTTAAGTACAGTCGAGGCTAAACGAAGTATTACAAAGTTCCTCTTCCGTACGTTCGCTATTTCTGGTTTCTGTTTCGTTAGCAAGTGACTGGGATAATTTTCTACAACGTTCACTCAAGAAAGCGTAATAATTTGCAATTTTTAATGCTACCTGTCCCCTACGAAGGCTGTAAACTTGTTACACAACGAACGAGTTAAGGGAGCACGAACTTTAATACACCTTCAGTCGTAAATTCTTCCGGTATCCTTGCGCAATTTCGTATTTCCCCCCCCCCCAAACAAGATTATTCTCCGTGTACCTGACCTATACAATTTTCCTCGAATTTACGACGTTAACGTCGAACGAATAATATCGAAAAAGCGACAAATTTCCCGCGGTAATTACACGGTGAAGTATCCGTTCAAATTTGTCAACGGCGATACAAAAATTATACGAATTGGAGGAAAAAGTGTTCCTATCTGTCACGCGTCGTCAATTAAGGATTAATCAATTAAAAACGACCGATTACGAGGACAATCGAATTCCCATCTCGCGGACCCCGAGCGCGTTTCAAAAATGACTTTCAACAACAACGAAACGTCGATTTGCTTTATCCGCGAATGTGAGCCGTGTCGCGATACCCCGTGCAATATTGTTATTAAACGGTCGTATAATAAATACGTAAGTATCGCTGTTTACAACGTGATCAAAAATCGATCGTTGCGATTTAACGCAATTACACGGTAAACACGTAAAACCGAGGCGGCTTGTTAAGGCTCGAATTTTCCGTGTGTCACACTCGCACACGGTGTCTGTCGAATTTCCCCCCAATTGTTGCTTGGCAATAACACGAGCGTCAATTATTTCAGAAACATGTCGTACTCGACGAGCACGCGCCCCCGTTTTCAGCCGCGTAACGAATGCAAGCGCGCGTAATTTTGATGCGGCGCGCAAAGGTGCTGGGCGTTATTACGAAATTTAACGATACCGCCGCGCTTGTACCGCATTGATGAGCCGATCTAGATTGCAATTAGTCATCGAGCGTTGTTGCGTTGCCCTTCGTATCTCGTTGCATTAACATTGTTCTATCCCGCGTTGCTCGATTATCGGCAGGGTGATTCGTTCGAGATCCGTATCTCGTAGCGTCAAATGATTAGCGGCTATCGGTTAATACGCTTTAAGAGAACGGAAAACGGGGACGCGTGTTGAACTTTAAAGCGGCTTCGTAAATACGGTGGACTATATGTACGTAGATCGATATCGCGAACGATAACGAACGTATATTTCGAGGAATAGAGTTTATTTCCTTTGTCCCCTGTTGATAGACTGGAAGATAGGCGAGATAAAGAATAGAACAGCTGACGGAAAATCGATTCTCTCTTTTCGGCAAGAGACAAGGAACTCGTAATAGGATCTCGTCGAGTGTCAACGTTAATTCTCTATTTGTGAGAGGGATCGTTCGTTCGACGGGGTTTCCTTTTGGAACTGACTGTAATTGCGTTAATTTTAGAAGTAGGAAGGAATCCACTGAAATCTGATGCATCAATTACCGCTATTGGGTTTGAGGAAGAGAGGCTAATTGTAAACTGCAGGTCGATTTCGAGTGAAACGAACAGGGAGTGGATTGAGTGGATTTGATTCAAGAGTAATCGAGGGTGTAACTGTTAACTTATTAACAGTGTTTTAATCAGACTTTTATTTTAAGATTTTGTGGAACTTCTAGATAATGCAATACAAGTTATGTACAGAACCTTTCCTGGCATCTTCCTCCATTAAGTATTCTCGGGACAAGAATACGTCCGTGGTTCGGTCAGTAAGCGAAGAGATAAATTGCCGTTATTTTAATACGGTCTATTCAACGAATATCGTAATTTACCTATTTTAATTATACACTTGGCCCATCGTTCCATTAGCTTCTTTATGTCAACAGCAAAGAATTCTTTATCTTACTGGTTACACCAGTTTGTCACATTGCTCTTCGCTTATTCATCTCTACAAAATTTGATCAAAATTTTCCACAAAGGAGAGTAAGAAAAAACTTGATAAGGCGAGGTCTGGACAGAACCTTCTTAATTTTTTAATTTAAAAACTTTTTGTAGTTATACTGAAGTTAGTTGACAAGCAGTTATTTAAAATTGACAAGGTTGTCAATTTACGACTTTGAAAGTACCATACTTTCAAATTTAAAAGTTCTTAAAAGTTTAAAATTTATCAGTTTTAAATTTCTGTGAGAAAATCCGTCCCGAAGACGGTGATGCGAACATCTTGAAGCCAGGCCCAGCGCGCTCGGTGGGGACGACTTGCCCCTTTGAGCTTTTCCCTGGGCCTGTTCGCGTAGGGGTGGACAGAGACCCTCAATGTATATTTTACCGAACGACGCCCGAATAACGTAGATACAGACTTTGAGTAAAATATATTATTGTGTGAACGTAGAAACGTTCAATTAATTTCACGCCCACCCTACTCCGAGTCGGGGTACTTTTTCCGACATTTCTATTATTAAATTAAAGTGAGAGTACTCAAACGATTGAATTTTGAGCAAAATTTGAGAATTGAATTACAGCGAAAGTGTACCAAAATTCACCAGCACCGCAGAAAATTTTCAAACCGTCTATAAGCGCCAATAGCAATGAAAGGGTTAAATATTTTTCGAAAGCAAATCGCACACTGTCTTCGTGCAAACATTTACTGCGTCTTCGCGCAAACAGCAAAAACGCGATTGCAAGCGTCTAGAAGGACGCCATTAAACGTACTCCGTTCCATCGGACGAAGAAGCAAGCAAACCGGGGTTTGTTAAAAAGTACGACCGGTCACGCGACGATCGCATCAAGGCCTGGCCTCGACGTTTGACGCCGAGCCGCGGAGAAATTTCACAGTGGATTTTGCAATTATTTATAACGAGGAAAGTTTCGGGACGGCCGGGCCGCGGCAATCGGTTCGTTAATTGCGCGAGATAATTATTGTTAAACGGCGCGCGCGTGACAAAGGATGATTCCCGCTGTCATCGGCTAATTCGCCGTGTTCTCTGTTCGTTAGGAGGGCGTGACTGGCCGTGGAGTAGGATCGCCGTTTTCAAACTCGTCAAACTTTACCTTTCAGCGGTGCCACTCACCTGGCGAAACGACCAAGTGTATGTACAGTACGTTTTGTTCATTTTTCAACCGGGGCGATTTCGTATGAATATGAAAACGAGGTGGGAACGCGCGTGGATTAACGCAGAGCGCGGGATGGAAAATCAATTTCCTGCCACGGATCGGGGAAAGACGAGCGATCTTTGTTCGAGTGTACAGGCTGCTTCATTATTGGAGCCGGGTTTAATTGTAGATTGGCCAGCGAGAAGTAATTGGGTTAAACAGAGGTTAGTGTATATACGTACGGTTTGCTTGATTTTGCGTTAATTAACTGTGCTTGGTCGAATGAAATTGCCGCTTGTTAGAATGAAGCATCGCTATGCACGCGCTGTAATAACTACGCGACCTCCCCTAGGAATTAATCTAATGACAGAGTGTCCGAAATTGTTTTGTACGTGTTCGACGAAAGTAAATTGCTCGTCTGTTCGGAGCTACTGAAAAAAAAAAAAAAAGAGAGAAGAACGCAGATTTGATTTTCACCGTTTATAACATTCGGACGTACAGATTTTATCTACCGTTATAAAAAATTTCCTCTTCCCTTTTTTTCGGGGGCGAAATTATCGAAATATCCGCGCTTCGATAATAAAAATCTTTCACGTGCGTTGTATCAATTTTTGTTATATTTCATTCCCGTTTTTCTTCAATGCTGCGGTGAAATTCTCGAAAGAGCTTTTTCAATCGATCTTTCTCCGTTTCTAAACGGAAAGTTGCGAACGTAAGAGAACGCGTGTTACAGATAGAACGTGAACAATGGAGAACGATCGAAACCTGTTGTGTGTGTCTATCGTGCGCGGAAATTTTGCACGAGCCGGATAGAAAAGTTTTACCATGTTCACGATTTCACGAAAATCCCCATCGTGCGTGAAATTCGATCATCCTTCCCGGGGCGCAATAAACAAGCAGTCCTCGAGCGGCCGCCTCGCTCTCGAACGGGCACGCAATCCACGTTCGAGTGCACTTAATCGGAATCACCTCGTACGCCTCGGAACAGCCAACTCGAATCGTCGAATGTCAATGTTAGTTACCCTTCTTCTCGCTCGGGAACATAGCCGGTGTAATCGTGGAGTGGACCAAAATTGGGAAACAATTTCATTAGCCATCGAATGGAGAACGCGAGTATCTATTGTTCCGATGTTCGATCATTCGATTCCGTCCAACGGAAAGGGGATTTTCCAGGATGCCGGAGCATTGTCACGAGGAGAAAAAAAAGAAGAATGAAAAAGGAACGAAGGAGAGAAACGGTGGTTGGTAGACGAAGCACTCTGCTCTTGAATGCAAAGTAATTTCACAGAGATGGTGGAAAAAGGAGAGGTTATGTTGGGCCATCAACTGATTGCATGCTTCCGAGTGTCGCAAGAGGGTGGCGTAGTCTCACCTTTCTGAGAACCAGCTCCAACCTTGGCGCAATTAAACAAATTTCAGTCTAACGTTATTCTGGAAGACTTCTTCCTTTCTTGTCGAACATAAGTACCATCCTTTTCACCGGGGAGAATATTCCGAGCTGAGGAACGTTTACCGAAGAACTGTTCGAGGTGTTGAAATTAATTCGTAATTAACGGAAGGTCGATTTCTTGTGTCGGCCACTTGGAAGCCGACGTGACTGACTTCAAATTAAATTCGTGAAATTTTTTTTATCTGTCAAGAGTTAGGCATCGAGCATGTGCTGTGATATACTAAAATTGGAAGAATTTCGACAAGTGGATTTAATCATTTCGGCTGCTGAGTGTAGATTTGAAAAAAGTTTCACTATCTTCGTATCGCGATCCAGATTAATCTATTCGAGACAGACGACCCAGTACGTGACTCATGCAGTATGATAAAGATTGGTATTATCAGATTTGTAGAATAAAGTGCACAAAAAGCAGAATCATCGTTGATTTTTAGATTAAGTGAAAAATTCATCCACAATCATGGCCGTCAATAACACTCTATATTAATTTGTGTAGCCGTTTTCCGTGGAAGTTTCAAGTTTTCCACAATTTTTCCCAGAATTACTAAAACATTCCAATTACCGACTACACTCGTTCGTCGCGTAATAACGATGTCACAGGCACAAAAGCTACTACACGACTAGAGAAAGAGAAAGAGAGATATAGATTTTCTCAAATTCAGCAGTGTGCAACTTTCAAAGAACTATCTGCTCATAAAGCGCAGTAATCTCTGAGGCGTCAAAAGGATAGAGACGAATTAACGGGTTGGACCTAAAGCCGGCTTTTATTTGCTGAAAAATAGCTGAAAAATAGTAAAGACGAAAGAAGAAGGAACGTGAAAGGCCGGTGGATAGAGGCAGAGGAAGCATCAGCACTTAGTTGAAATGTTTTCGAGTTACCAGCGGCACTTGAAGCTTTAATTTAATCGTCGGCGGCCTGTTCTTTTCCAAACGAACGGGGTGGATACTCTTCAGTGGCGATCCACCGGTGTCCTTGGATCTGCTTACAAAGCAATCTCTCCATCTAGGGAAGGTCCAAAGGGAACGGCACCTAATCTAATCTCCGTTACGACGATGCCGAGTCCAAATCGAAGTTGGCAGAGCCTCTGGTATCCGGTTTTCTTCCTGTCTCTAAAGGAGCCCGATGGAGAAGCTGGGCAGTAACCAATCTTTATCTTGATTATGCAGCGCCAACGCCGGAGGAGCCAATCTCTAGCCGAACAGCCTGCCAAATAAGGTCGTAAAGAGGCCGAATCTATCGATCACCGTTTCAAACTGCGAATTCGGCGCTGCTGATTTGCAATGGAGATTGGAGGAGCGACGACGACGGAGGAAGGACGACGCGATATCCTCCTTCGTCGAATAAGTAGCTGGGAAAGGAGGACTCGATTCTGTATCGAGTCGTCGTTGTCACTGTTATTCACCGACACTTTGCGGCAATCTTAACGACGATAAACGAGCGAATTTGTGGGGAAGAACTGGAGTTACTTCGTTAACGATGATGATTAATTGCTCGACTGTTGCTTTGGTTCTTTTCTCTGATTTTGCAATTTAAATCAATATTTCCAACGAACCTTTAAATTTGAGAAGGAAAAACGTAAGTGCTTTCTTGGTCTACAAATTTTTGCTATTCTTTTTCCTTTTGGGGGCGATCATTATGGCGTCGCTATAGAATTTCTTCGATTTTTCTGTAAAATATTCGGGATGACCTAATATTTGGTCATCGAGTTCCCCTTACTCCCTTTTTGCTTGTTAGCGAAAGACAGAAATTTCAAATTTGTCAAACTTCTTCAGAGTTTTCTATTTTTATATTCCACATTTATGTGACCTGCAAGCGAAACTTAAAAACTTCACAAAGAAGTATGTACCAATTTTCTGAATATCCATTGACAGAATTGATAAAAAAGTTGAATTCAAAGACCTCTCGAAGTGTATATTAATCTCCCTACTTCTTCGCCTACTTGCACGCGCCTCTCGATAGCAGCTCGAAAGGAGAATACTCATATTATACGAAAAAGAGGCACACATTACAAAATTATACAGTACGACGCCGAGTTTCCTTAACTCCTTCGCCATTCGCAATCCTCGAACCTTCCCCGGACTCCAGAAATTCTCGAACCGGAGAAAATTTCGCGCGCACGGAACAACAACTTCTCGAATCGATCGAGAAGGCAGAAGACTCGGAGCGATCTCGACCAGCTCCGGAATATTTTTTGGTCGCGAAGATACACGTCGACTCGGAGCTAATATCTTAAAGATATCGAATTGTCTGGCTGGTGGGATTTTGCAAAGTCATCCGGCAGAAGAACGTCAGCAGAACGCGGGACAAATGGGCGAACAGTTAGCGAAACGATCGGAGCAACGAGGAACGATATACGCGTCACGGACGTCTGTAAAACTCCATAAATTGCTTTTTGGGGGAGTATGTCGCGTTATAAATTACGCGGTGAATTCGCGAGTGATGGAATTAACGACGACATTAGGTGGTTTATCGACGATTCGTTGCGAGATGAACGAACCTTCCGCGATTTGCACTCGCTGTTTCGCCATTTTTATTATCATTGCGATTATAGGATATGCAAATACTCGAAAAAGTACGAAAAATTTTGCGTACGCTATCGGTGGGGAATTATTGGAGTGGTTGGAATTTTTATGAACTAACGTTATTCAGTTTCATAAATTAACAGATTCCAGTGTTGTAGGTATCATTGTACAAAATTAAAAAAGAAACTACATTTTTTTCTAAAATTTTGACGTTCCGTTACTTCTTCGCTAAATACTTTGCACGAATGAATGTTCAAAAATATTCTTAAACAATAATTTTACGATAGTTAAGCATAAGTCTCTTCATTTTCCTCTTCTGAAAATTTTACTTTTTAATGTTAGAAACGTTCTAGTTTCGAACTCCTTAATTATGCTCACATTTCTTATTAAGTACCAAAATTAAAGTGGATATATTAGGACATCTATAATGAAATGATCTTACCAAAAATGAAAAATAGGAAAATGTTGTGGAATTAGAAGACACTTACATTTTTGTTATCGAATTTAAAGGTTCGTTGGAAATATTAAGCTAAATTGTAAAATTCGACACGAACTTACGAGATGACCTAATAGTACATTACATGGCCTGTTTTCTTCCTTATTTTTGGCTACATTACGTCCACACACACGTAGCTGAAATATTGCACACAATAATCACAGGTAGTTCTACACGTAATAAATTAAAACGTCACATTTGAACCATAATCTACGAGTGTGATTTAATATTACGAGGCTAATTAAATTCGTGCTCCGAACAGCTGGTAGACCACTTAACTTGGACCATCGATCCAGGTCACGGGCCATTGTGCGAGCTTCTCTCCAATTGAATTCTATTTATCGTGCGTAATAATATCGCTAGATATTCCGTCGACTGAAGGAAATTCCGACTTTATAACAGAAGTTGCGCAACACGATGGAATTCACGGTTTAATTATGTCTAGAAAGTTATGGACCGGTACGAATTGTATCGTCACCTAGTCTGGTCATGCACTGGTTAGTTTTGAGCATCCGGCGAAGTGATTGTTCGCAAAACAACGTAGAATTAAATAAAAATGTTCAAAATATCACAATCTACGTGATCGGTCGTATTTTGTAACGACATGAATAAAAATGAAACGCAGATCACAGTGGACTTCGCAACCTAAAGTCTGTCTCACGATCGACCATGACGAAAGACAAAAGGATTTCCAACAATTACTTTCACAATCCTTCGAAAGAAGCGTCGCATATCCTCTGAAAATAGCAAATTAAATCATTCATAAATCACTCAATTATCGTCCACTTTTTCTCACAAAACCTCCATAACACATCGAAGTAAAAACTTGCACAAGCGTGGCGAATGAAGACAGATCAGCGTGCAATATCGCGCGGGAAACAGTGTAATTGAACGATCATGTCTCGCCCCGACAACTCAATCCGATTCAATCTCCGACGTAAACTTTCTTACTCCAAATTCCACGCTACGTTTATCGCGACTTCCTTGTCCACCTGCCTCTCTCGTTTGCATTCTTCGATTCCAATTCTCAACATCCCGAGAAACATTCCAATCGTGCCTCCTTCTTCCCCAAACGTTCCTCCTCGTTCTAACAAAACGCTCCCCGTAGACTCGGTCAGCGTTGCGTCACGTCCCCGTGGACCAGCCAAGCTCGCAGTCTTTTTCTCCTAAATCGTCGACGGGAAAAACACCGGGCCATTTCATTACGGACGCGAGAAAGTGTGAAAGGTCCGGTGGACGCGGAGAAGGAAGGCTTGCGGTCGCTCGGATGAAAGTGGAATCGACGGAAACGATCGGAAGCCCCGTGACGGAACAATCGAACCGCGGATATTTAAGTGTCACAGGTGTCGACGTGGTCATCAGTCGGATGATCGCGTCGAAGCTGTTTCGAGATGCTGCTGCGCGTCGCGTTCCCTGTGTTCCTCGCGCTGCTCCTGCCGCCGCAGAAGACATGCCACGGAAGAGAATTGAGCGGCGTGCGCGATCGTCGCGACGCCCAAGCGGAGGATAACAACGCGTCGCAGACGCTGCTCTCCGTCACGTCGATTCCAACGTCGAAGCTCGACGAGTCGAAGGTCGATCTTCTGGTGGCCGCCTCGGGCCATCAGGGTCATCGTCACGAGTCCGGCGGAGGGCAGAGTCATCACTCGGATCATCACGAGGAACACGGCGCGGAGGGCGATAAGGGGTACAAGAGTCATCATCATCACGACAAGAACGACAAGGGTGAGCACGATAAGCAGCATCATTCTGGGCATCACGAGGAGCACGGTGGGAATAAGAAGGGACACCATGACGAGCAGGAGAAGTATGGAGAACATCACGAGGGTGAGAAGGGGCACAAAGGTGGGAAGTTTGGGGAGAAGAAGGGTCACAAGAAAGGTCACAAGACTAAAGGATATCATAACAAGTTCCATAAAGACGAGTATCACAAGGAGCATAAGTTCTACGACGATTACCACAAGGGCGGACATCATAAGAAGCACGGTGACTTCCATGGACATCATGAGAAGAAAGAGGGACAGCATAAGAAGGGAGAGCATCAACATTCTGGATACCACGAGGATCATCAAGGGAAGAAAGGACACCACGACAAGGGCCATCTTGACGAAGAGCACAAAGGTCATCATGGCAAACATGGACACGACGAGCACTATAGTCATCACGATGCTCATGGGAAGAAGGGTGATCAACAATCTGGGAAAAAGTATGGATACAATAAAGGACACAAGGGTTGAAGGATGTAAGACTGATTCAATGCTCGTCTGGATTCTCTGTTGCAGAAGTATAATGTTCTGTTATGTTCTTACAGCGACAGTTGCATTTTTGTTACACTGTAATGCTGTGTATAAAGGATTAAAAAAGTACGATATGTTAATTGGCCTTCTTTCACGTTTAAACAAAGATCGTTCAGATGGAAATGAGATTGTTTTGTTAACGAGAAAAAAATAAATGAATATTTTGTATAAAAAGGACTCGTTGAATTTGAAATGAAGTGAATAGAGAGAAGAGGGGTGTAAATACAATCGGAATTAATTTGAATAAAAATTTGATCACGGAACACAATCTGATACGAGACTCGAATCTAAAAATGCCGAGGTAGAAATTTAATTTAACTTTTAATGTTAACACACACACACACACACACCTTCTCTTACGTATCACGCGTATTTTTATAATATACCGCGGAACTGCAGTCCTAACGGGACGTTATTTACGCCGCTCGTTATTTATGCCGCACGCGTTTAGTACCTCAAATATTTCACAGCCGTCAGTCTTAAGTTTTTCCAAAGTGACGGGGGAAATAATGTATCGCGGGGCGATATATACGTATCGTAGCCTGTGTACATATTGTGTAAATACACGCGCGGATATAGCGGTTGCACGCGCGGCTAAAAAACCGGCGGTACTGCTCTCTTTTCACTTTCCCTGCGGTGCCGCGAATAAGTTTCTCCGTGGCTCATATTTGTCTCATAATATCGCCATTAATCGAAAACGTGGCCAACTCTTTTCTCGTCGAATTTTCAATGAGATTTTCACCGTTTCGCCGATTCCCGCTGCTGAAAGAACAGCTCGTTTAATTTTAATCACGAATTCACGTGGAATTTTACGCGGAATCCTTTGACGATTTATAAAGCACGATAAACGCGGACGATTGGATACGGTTATTCGTTAATTTTCTGTTCGCAATATCGGTAGTATCGTTCTCGAGGTTCTATCTTTGACGAAACGATTACGGAAAATCGTTACATACTTTCAAGCTTGAACGACGCGTTTCTCTTGCAAAATCATCCAGGTGAAGTGTTGAAAAACAGGACAGATTAATTTCGAATAATCGGAATTAATAATGTGGGATTTTGTTAAATACTTTTGCGTTTATTATAATAAAAAGTAACCCCAGGCGACGCCGGTGCTGTTCACTTATAATCTGCCCCTTCTTTCTCACCGCTGCTCCGATTCGTTCTCTTCCGGCTCGTTGCTTCTCGTTTGTTTTTACACTCACACTCTTTTTCCTTTTCTCCACGCACGCACCACATACACACACACACGCCGCGATCGGCTTGACAACCCATGTTGTCTAAACATAACAAACACGCCACGCACGATCGTCTTCTGTTCGTTCTTCCTTTCCAGGCCATTCACACCAACTCTCTCACATTCACTCTTTCATACCAAAAGCCCCACAGTAATTATTTAGTTGTGATCGATCATTTTTGTCCAAACGTGCCTCGTGCAACGATCGAACGCAGTTTCGACACGTCGAGTAGGTCGATGGGATAGGGGTAGGTTCAGTTTCCGGTCGAGCTACGTGCACAAAGTGGAGATGTTTCTCGTTGGAAAAGGTACGGTGTAGCGAATACTGTGTGTACATGTATAGATATACATATAGAAGTGATTTTAATGATTACGTTGAGAAAGTTGGTAATACGGCAATGATAGAGTTTAATCGCGTTACCAATTCAATTGATTCACGGATATTAATGCGTCGCTGGATGGAATACGCGTGTGTGCCGCGCGCTAACGCGGTTAAATTTCCAGATAAATAACACATGCTCGGAGGATTTTCGAGCTGGCCAGTCTGCCTCGTAATTCTATTAATCGATTATATTATGAACTATGCGTTTACGTCGCACGCTTAGTTTGAAACTAGCGTTTCTAGCTTGTTTAACATCCGTCGCGTATCGGCCGTGCTATAAATCCGATGCAGAATATCGAGTCTCCCTGTGTTATACGTGCTCGAAGTATCAGTTTCCTTCTCTATCGAATAATTATCATTTTCTTTCTAATTTCATCGATGGATAGCTACTTCGTTGGATATTGGTAATCGAGAATGTGTGGTGATAGTAGTCTTCTGTGAAGTAAAATGAGAAATAGGCACCTGATTTATCGTAACATACTATGTTACTTTAGACGACGCATTGTAAATTTTCTTAACGCACCAATTTATTATCAAACGATATAACATTGCAAGTACAAATGTGGCGAGATAACCACGCTTAATATATTACACGTACGCTAACACGCGATGAATTTTTTTTAAACCTAAGAATCACAGGACTCTTGAGCAAAGACATGCGATGTAATACATCTTACGCGGTGTGTGCAACCGAGGTGTGGATAAATTGTTAACGAGCTTCACGATCCTCTTACGTGCACTCGAGGAAAGTATAATTCTGAGAGGATTTGTTTAAAAAGAAAAAATTGAAGTTGTGGCCTAATTATGTGTTGCATAAGTAATCAGTATTTTGACATAATTTCACGATCCTTTGAAAATGCAACCAATCAACTCGCGTGCATTTTTAGGCGATAAACATAGTTGGCCATGAACTCGTGCAAGTATACTTAAGAAAAATATAACTTGCACGTAATTTAATTTTAAGAAGAAGTTGAAGTAGTGATCTAATGATGCATTGCACAAGTAATCAGTATCTCGACGTAATCCTTTCGCCCTTTGAGGACGATGATATTCGCGAAACATAAATGCAACCGATAAACTTATACACATTTTTAGACAGAAAAATATTATAGATGGCCATGAATTCGTGCAAGTATCCTTAAGGAAAATATAGCTTTCACGTAATTTAATTTAAAAAAGAAATTGAAGTAGTGACTTAATAATGCGTTCAACGTAATCTCACTATCCCTCAACTTTTATGTCAATAACCGGGTATCCTTTTGCACATTCTCACTTAAAATATTTTATCTTCCCGGTAAAGAATTTGAATATCCAGCCAGATCGTTGCTTGGCACATTTCCTACCCCTATTTACTTCAAGTTTCCAATTCTCTTATCGGAAAGCTACTAAAATTGAGCGATAAAGTAGACGACAATCGTGGTTATTGACACAAGGGTTGACGCTTCTTTTCCTTCGCCACTTGTCAGTTTACTCGTTCTCCTTGATCCACCTGTTCGTTTTAATAGGATGTTCGTTTGCATTTCCGTCGCTCTGTTTCTTTCTATTTACCTATCCGGCTGTCTATCCCGCGTAATTCCACACCTTCGAAACGTTTATTTACACCGGTGGTTGGAACGCGTCACTGGAAACACGTGCTCGCGTTTGCACAACCGTCATCGACGAATCGTATCTATGTATGTATGTAAATGTGTGCAAGGTGGAAGGCAGCGTCGCGTACACGCGGTAATAACGAGAACGAAAAACAACGTGTTCGGCGCGAAATTGGACGAGCAATCGAAAAAAAAGCACGCGGATATCGTCGCGCGGGATTTTAATCAAACGTGATCTCGCGTCTGCCTGTAATCCGGACAATTTCGCTATTTATGCGAACGCCCGACCCAATACGTTTCACGGGGGAGAGAGGAGGGGAGGAATTGTTTCGCGTAATGCAATAAAGGCTTTTTCAATGTGACCGTGCCGATCTGGCTCACGCTCGAAAAATTTTATTGGACCTGCTGTCGCGAGTTGAACAGCCGACGAAGCGAGTCTGCGTAGCGACCAATTAAATCGTATCGTAAGAAAATTTCGTCGAATCAGTAGGATTCCGTGGTTTTCAGTTGATTGCACGTGTTCATGGTGAAATTGCAGGTAATAGACGTGTGTTTCGAAGAAAATGTGGGATTTGATTTATTAGGACGATGAAATTTGCTAATTGAGTCTTAACGATTTAGGCGATTTTCACTGCCTCGAGGTAAACGATTGCCAATAAAAAAGAATACGTGTCAAATATTTTTTTCAGTACTGTCATGTCAAAGTTTCATCAATATCGGTGATTATCACTTGAGAATGTTTCCTTGTTAGTTCGAACGTATGTTGACTCTCGTTTGAGTCTGAGTTGAAATCTGTTCACTCTCGTTTGAGTTGAAATCCGTGGATTCTCGTTTGAGTCTGAGTTGAAATCTGTTCACTCTCGGTTGAGTTGAAATTCGTTGACTCTCGTTTGAGTCTGAGTTGAAATCTGTTCACTCTCGGTCGAGTTGAAATCCGTCGACTCTCGTTTGAGTCTGAGTTGAAATCTGTTCACTCTCGGTTGAGTTGAAATTCGTTGACTCTCGTTTGAGTCTGAATTGAAATCTATTGACTCTCGTTTGAGTCTGAGTTGAAATCTGTTCACTTTCATTTGAGCCTGAGTTGAAATCTGTTCACTCTCCTTTGAGTCTGAGTTGAAATCTGTTCACTCTCGTTTGAGTCTGAGTTAAAATCTGTTCACTCTCCTTTGAGTCTGAGTTGAAATCTGTTCACTCTCGTTTGAGTTGAAATCCGTGGATTCTCGTTGAGTTCTCATCTAACTGTGTATCTGTTGCGTGAACGTGTGTTGCATTCCGAATATGGCAATAAAGTCGCAATACTATTTTTCCCATTAAAAACTTGCTACTCGAATGAACATAACCAATAAACCGGTAAGCTCGGTACTCTCTGTTTTAACACAATGGATAATATCCAGCCACGACCATCGATTAACCGAATGACTCTGGGAACATTCGCCGTTTAATTACACGATTCCCCACGATGCACACGTATTTATCCATACTATTCGAAACAATACACGAATACGAGCGCGCGAACAATGTAAGCCTCAGTCCGTCCACTTAATCCGGCTCGGTTATATCGTCAAAAGCTTTTTTGCACAGTCTTATCGTGCAATTTTCAACAGGACCGAAGGGAGAAAAGGGGAAATGCTGAAGGAAGCGAGGGGCTGGGGCGCAAGAGTCTACGACTACGCTGCCCGTTTATTATTTCACTCGGCTCGTGAACATTTTATCAAAAGGTTCCTCAGTTAAT